GGCTCCTGGCAGGCCAGGGCGGAGCTGAGCACCTGCGGGTATCCCTTCTGCCCCTGCCTTCCTCACACACCCATCACCCAGACGTCCCTGCAGCTGGGGAGATAGAGCCCGGGGGTCGGGAGGCTAGAGGCACAGCAGGCCCTGGCTCCTCTCAGCTCCTCTCTCACTTCAGAGGGAGACAGGGGGTGTCCCCTGGGAGGGCCTGAGCTGGTCCAGGTGGGGGTGGGGGACCCAGGGCAGGGCAGGCCCTTCTGCCCCAGGGTTTCCGCTGACATCACAGCCAGCTCAGGGTGAGCCAGGGCCCTCTGGGCTCCTGCCCACTGAAGGAAAGGGAAAGTGCACACCCTGCTGCCTTTGTTCCCCCGCCTGTGTTCTGCCCCGGTGTCTGCCCACCGTACCCTGGAGCACACACTGGAGGAGAGGAGGTGGCCTCCCGGGGACATGGAGTCCAGGGGTGTCCTGGGCTGGCTCCTCCAGCCCTGGAGGGGCCTCTGAGTCCACCTAGGTCCTCTCTTTACAGGCACACAGCCGGCGGGCCCTCAGAAAGTAGAGGGAAGCCCTGGGTGGGCTGGAGGGTGGCCTCTAACTCCAGGGTCACTGCTCATTCTGAGATTCCAAACTGCCTGCTAGTGGAATCCAGAATTCCAGCTGAGGGGACTCGGCGCTCATGGTCTTGCCCCCACTGCGCTTGGAGGGGGCGATGTGGGCACCTGGCCAGCGTCACACAGCCAGGTCCTGTCAGTGGTGGGTGGCAGGAGAGCTCAGGCAAAGAGAACCCTCTTTGAGTCCCAAGAAAGGACTGAGTGTCCTGAAGAGACCCACCGTGCCCAGGCTGTCATTGATGTTTGTTCTAGACACCCAGCCTCTTCACTTGCCGGGAGCCCCCTGCCTCCATGTCCCACCCCCAGGCCTGCACCTGCATGGTGTAGTTCAAAGGGCTGAAGTCAGACAGCTCTGAGGCCGAGTCTTGGTCACTCGCTGTGGGACCTTAGGCTAGTGACTTCATCTTCCCAGACCTCAGTTTCTCCGTGTGTGAAATGGGGAAATAATGGTTCCTGTCTCAGGGTCACTGGAAGAGTTAAATGAAACAGAACACGCAAAGCTTCGCACAGTGTCTGCTGCAGTCCTAGAGCTCAGTATGTTTGAACTGCCATTGCTCTTTAAGCCTTTCAGGTCCAAAGGGGCAAAACTCCCATGAGAAACGCGGGCCCCGAGCAGGCCCCTGGCACGGAGTAGGCACTTGGGGAATGTTTGGTGAACGGAATGAATGAATTAGCAAGTGTGCTTACTCAGCAACAACGCCAGACCCCTGCTCGCCCGTCGGGAGGGGACCAGACTAGAGGTTCCCCAAGTTCAGGAATCTAGGAGGCCCTGGGTCCGAGCCCCTGCAGCGACGATTCTGCAGCTACAAAGGACCAGGTGTCTTGGGCACGTGGAGAGCCTTCCCTGGGGATGCCAGCTGCAGGGGAGAGAGGGGAGGATGGAGGGTGGGTGGCCACCAGCCCCTCCCTGAGCCAACACTGACTACCCCCACCCCCTAGGAGGGCAGCTCAGTCATCACCTGGCGCCAGCCTTGCCCCCACCTGGTCATACCCTTTGGGGGTTCACCTGCCACCTGCAACACTCCGGCTCCTGTGGCTGGTCAGCTAGAGCCTGGGAGGCCAGAGGAGGCAGCAGAAAACACATCCCCTCCTCAGCTGGCTGAATACTCCCACTATCCTGAGGGACAGGTGGTTCACTGAGGGGCGAGGGGGCTGGTCCCGAGGCTGTCCTGACTGACAGGCTCCCAGCCTGGGCCCCCTGCCCACTGCGGGGAGCTGCAGGAGTTCTGCCTGGTCCTCTCTGAGCATCTTTGCCTTTGACTCCCCGTTCTCCTCCCCTCCCAGAAGCTCTCCTACCTCACCACCCTTCTGACCGTAAACACGCGCTGCCACCTAGGGCCGGCCTCAGATGGTTTAATGAGTTTCCAGATGGCAGTTGTTGAAGGCAGGGTGGGGTTTTCCTTGGCCTCTCTGTCCTGTGCAGGGCTTTTCACCCAGGAGGGACTCGGCAAGGCCTGCAAAACGTACCATGGAACAGATGGAATGTTCTCTTCCTGAGGATGCTTTTCTGGAGCTAGCTAAGTGGGGTGGTGTCTCCTCAAACCTCTGCTCGCTCCCCACCAGTGACCCCAAATTGTTAGAGCTGGAAGGGCCCTGGTAATCCATTTCTGAGACCCAGAGGGGAGCCACTTGTGTCACCCCATCCTGCAGAAGCCCTGGAGGTGGGCTCTCTGTTCTGTCTCTCCTTTCTTCTTTCTCCTCCAGATTCCAACAGCCCACCCCTATTTGGGGATTTGGCTGAATAAAGGCACAGTCTTTATTCCAGCCCCCACCTCAACCCAACTGGCAGCTCCTAGCCTGCTGCCTTTGCCCAGACATGGCAGAGGGGCACTGGCAGCTTGGAAATGGAGTTGATTTTCCCCTTGGCAGGGTGGCAGGTGGGGGAAGGGAAAGGCTGGGCCCCCAGTAGGTGAGGCGAGAGGGCAGGGAGGCAAGTCTAGACAAGAGGCAGAGGAAGAACATGACTTTCCCCGCTTGTGGGGTCACAACACCAAGGATCCCAGACAATCTGGGGGCTGGGAGCCGTGTTGTCCCCAAACTCACCTGGCCTGAGTCCCCCAGTCAGAACTGCAGCCCCCAGATCCTGCAAACTCGTGCTTTCTAGACTTCCAAAGTGAACATTTGCAGGGGGTGGGGGCAGCATTGTCAAAGTTCCTCCTTCTTCTGCTTCAGAGCCCCTTCCTCTTCCTCACTGGCTTCTCTCCCTCCCTCCTATTCACCCTTGCTCCCCCTCCTCCCACTCCCACCCTGGTGCCTCTTTGTGTCTCCTCTTCCCTTCTCTGGTCCCCTCTCTTTTTCACTCCTCTTCCCAGCGCCCCCACCCTCTTTCCCCAGCTCCCCCTTCCCCTCTTTCCCCTTGCTCTCCCGGCCCCTCCTCCTCCTCCCGCGTGGGGGCTGCTTTCTCCCTGACTCAGCAAGGTGCTTTATAAGGTGCTGAGGGGCTCCGCCAAATCCAAACCACATTGTCTGTGCAGGCTGTCTCCACAAGGAGCAGGCGGCTGCAAACCAGAGGAGAGAGGGCTGGGGCCGCTCCCCTGCTTCCTCTCCCCTTCCTGGCGCCCTCTCTCCCAAACGGTGGCTGCAGGGCCCTCCTGGCCAGCCTCAGTGCCTGTCACCCACTAGACATCTGCCTTCTTGCCCTTGGCATGGGCATCAGGAGATGGTCAGGCTGACCCGCCAAGAGTGTCACTGAAACTCCAGAGCCCAGGTTTATTGGTTGGGGGGAGGAGGCCCAAAGCCCTTCTCTAAAAGGCCCTCCAAGGCAGGTTTCATCAGAGCTGCTCCTGGTGTCCCAGAAAACCCCTGCCCCCAACCCCAGGCCAGCTCTCCTTTCCCAGCCCCTTTTCTCCTTGTTTAGAAAAAAAAGAAAGAAAGAAAGAAGAGAGAAAAAAAAACCAACAACAAAGTCTGTCCCACTCCAGTGAGGTAATTGAAAACAAACTTCTTCCCCACCCCCCCACCCCCCCACCCGGTTCTCCAAGTGCAGAAAAGGGAAGTGCTGCCCCAGAAGTCCGGGCTGCAGCTCTGACCCATGGGCTAGAGGGGCTGTGGTCTGGCTGCTTGTAGGGTGCCCCCTTTCTTGGGGGGCACTGGATCGACGCTTCCCTCTCCTGGGCAGGAATGGGGGACAGAGAGAGGCCTCACCTTCCAGGTCTCCTCCGCCACTCACCTCTCCCCCTTCCGAACAACAAATCAGCAAATGCAACTTCTTACCAAATGATTTAATTGGTAGCCTGGCTCTACAGCACCCAAGCCTCAGAGACCCAGTGACTCCCCATGAAAAGTCATGAAGTGGGGTTGTCTGCAACCACAGAGGAGAAGAGCTCCTTCCTCTGCGTTTCCTTGGCAGCCCGTTGTGGAGGCAGGGCAGGAGAAAGGAAGGAGACCCTCCAGGGATGGTCCAGGCTTATGGATCCCCTAGGTATCCAAGCCCAGTGGCCCAGCCCAGGCCTGAGAGAAGGGAGAGGGGAGGGCACGCCACAGCCAGACCACCCCTACCCCACCACCGGAAAAAGCCACAACCCCAAACCCCAAAGGAAGGAGAATGCCAAACGGCTTTATGGGGAAGCAGTTCACAAAGCGTGGCGGAGGGGGGCTGGTCTGGGCCGTCCATCGCTGGAATCGGGAGAGTCCTCGCTGAGTCACCCTCGAAGCCTCTGGTGTTGAAACTGGTCCGGTGCCTCGTGCTGATTAATGAATTACAAACCCCCGCCCCGCGAGCTCCATGGCCCTGGTCACTGAGAAGAAGAATGGGGAACCTTGTGAACTTGAGGGGAAAGCCTCGCCAAGTGCCCTCTTCTCTCCCTAGAGCAGGGCAGTGGGCCTGCGGGGCCTTTGGCCACCCCCTCAGGGGGCACTGTGAGCCGGTTAGTCACCTGCCCCAGCCCCAGTGCCTCACTTAGGCCAGCTTCTGGAAATGGGACAAGTGGCGGGACAATAGGCAAGGGGGGCGGTTGGCCCAGACAAAGGGCAGCAGGAAAAACACCATCACTTGCTACGAAGCCAGCTCGCTGGCATTTGGGAAAATGTGTCATTACATTTACTCAGGGGGAGGGGAGGGGAAGGAAGGTTAGCGATGAAGAGGGCGAGGTAGGGTGGGAGCAGGGGACAGCACCGAGCCAGGGGCGGGGGGCACTCGGCCCTTGGCCGACACCAAGGGAGAAGAAAAGCAGGGGACTGGCGCACCCCCCTGCCTCGCCGCTGGAGTTTGCAGACGGACTGATGCCCTTCCCGTCCCCTCCCCCAGGAGGCCCAGGGTGGTACCGCCGCCGCCTCGCCTCACCTCACCGCCCCCTCGGTGCTGTGGGAGGGAGAGGAGCCCCAGAAGCCCTCCCTTTCCTCCTCCCCTCCTCCCCCCACCCCGGGGAGGGCCGCTACAATTTGTGGTTACAGCTTTACACGTCAGAAAAAAAAAAAAAAAAGTTTGCAGAATGTCCCACACCGAAAAAAAAAATCCGAAACCGAGCGAAAAAAACCTGCGAGTGGGCCTGGCGGATGGGATTATTAAAGCTTCGCCGGAGCCGCGGCTCGCCCTCCCACTCCGTCAGCCTCGGGAGAGGAGCCGCGCCCGCCGGCCGCCCCCAGCCCCATGGACCTCCGAGCAGGTAGGAGCCCAGCTGAGCCCCGGCCCCCGCCCCCGCCCTGCACCGAGATCCGGTTCCCGTCCTCCCCGGGGAGCTGGGTCGGGGCCGGGCCGGGAGCTGCCTGCCAGCCGGGCTCAGGCCGGGCACCCCCGAGAGGGGCCGGGCGGGGACGCAGCATTCCAAGAGTCCGCTCGGCAGGGCCGGCGGTGGCTCCGGGCGCGGGGAAGCCCCAAGCCGCAGAGCGGGAGGCGGCAACCTGGAGCCCTGGCGCGGCGGGGTCCCGGGAATCCTGGCAGACTGAGCCCCGCGCAGAGGGGCGAGCGGGTCTGGTGGGCGAGGGCTTCGGGAGGGACCCGCGCGCAAGGCGAG